ATGTGAACACTTTTAACATATCATAGTATATTTCATCTGTTCCTATTTATTTTTGTATTGTATTTATTGTTGTACTGCTGTTGTCTGTTGTATTCTTTTTAATTATGTTTTTATTTCTCTAGTCTTGTTGTGGTTATTTAACATATTTCCAAGGACAACAGTTGAAAATTAGCCTGCTGGCTAATACTGGCATGTTTACAGCAATGTGGATTAATGTGCACTGTCCTTTAAATAAATAAACAAACAAAAAAACAATCACTAATCAATATCAATTCAATAATGACGCCATTGGCTCCTGAAGAGGACAATGTTGATGCCCAGTTTTTGTGGCAATCATCCATTCACTTCCTGCCGCTTTTACACCCACAATCATATGCTTCATGAGTCAGTCATTAGGACTATTCAAAGTTATTTCCTAGCGAGCAAACACAGAAATCCCACTAGAAGTCTATGATGCACGTCCACCACACTCATAGCATAATATTATGAGGGCTTTTCCGTTTATATTTAGCAGATATATGTTTTGCACATCAATGCCATTGGTTCTCTTAGTGTGTGATTTTGGGATAATGTTCAGCCCTTACCCTGGGGTTTTCAGTTTGTGTGTGTGTGTGTGTGTGTGTGTGTGTGTGTGTGTGTGTGTGTGTGTGTGTGTGTGTGTGTGTGTGTGTGTGTGTGTGTGTGTGTGTGTGTGTGTGTGTGTGTGTGTGTGTGTGTGTGTGTGTGTGTGTGTGTGTGTGTGTGTGTGTGTGTGTGTGTGTGTGTGTGTGTGTGTGTGTGTGTGTGTGTGTGTGTGTGTGTCTGTGTCTGACAGCATCAATGAAACATGCGTCCACTAGATGAGATGGAAAGTTCAACTGGCTGCCACCAGTGAGTCGCGTTATGGATTAATGGGATTAAACTGCCGCCTCCACTTGCTTTCACTACATGGAGCATAAAGTCAATCAAATAGTCCTGAGTCCAACAATGACACCCATGTGGATGCATGCCCACTCTGCTAAATGATATTGGTTGAATCAATATTGTTTGTGTGAGAGAAAGACTCACAGCTCCATGTGGTTTTTCTCAAGTTCTTACACAGGCTTTTGGAAACCAAATAAAACAGTTATACTATAAACATTAAGCTCTCAATTAGTGCAAACTTAAAATTGTCTGTGACACGTGGTCCTCATAAATCACAGTGAGCTGATTGGACTTCCCGCGCAGACCCACCGCTGGGTATGTGCAGGTTAAATGGGAGTCTTTGTTTGCACGCCCGCCACGGCATGGTCATTGGAGATGGCGCGTGGAAATCACAGAGATGAGGAGAAAGGAGGAGAGATCTGTGGAGAGCGGAGCCGTGTGCCAGTCTGAGGGCATCTCCGTGATATTTACCACTGAGCCTCCTCGGCACACACAGCGCCGGCTGCGTCGTACTTGGTCGAATTGTAAGGGCATCAAAAATGGAACGGGAAGACACTTTGTTGTCCTCGGTTTTTGCAGATGATATTGAATAAAACACAAGGACTCCAGGGCGGTGTAATGGTTTGACATGTTTTGTCATCATGTCTTACGTTGGCGCACGAGACGAGTCTGTGATGCCAAGCAGCAAGCCAGAAGCACTCGAAGAGGATAAAGACTTGAATGTAAGTAGTTTTATGAAACGTTATTTGAACGATAATTAAGTGACATCTTCTCACCAAGAAGGAGGCGTGGCGCCATTGGGTGTCCGATCAGCTGTCCGATCAGCTGTCCTTGGCATACGGATGACTTTTGCGCCGACACAAATGAAGAGAAGACTCCATGTGACACTATATAAAGGTCACGAATGAAAACCACATGGTTAAACGAACTCCTCTCGACTTTATGTAGCAGAATTTACGTGCGTTTTGGAATTTGGAGAGGCATCCAGGCGCGATCCATGTTTTGTTTAGGACACACAGGTACCGGCGGTACCTGCGGGACTTAAAGCACAGTTTGGACTTAAAGGCAGCGTTGGGCTGTGGGCCAGTGATGCCGGAAACATTCACACTCATAAAGAACCGGACAGAGCCACGGCTGGGGCAGCTGGAGCGCGCACTGGCCACGGACGAGAGCGCTCGCCCCGCCTGGGTCATAGCAATCCTGGCCAGCGTCTTGATCTTCACCACGGTGGTGGACGTGCTGGGAAATCTGCTAGTTATCATATCCGTGTTCAGGAACCGCAAACTGAGGAACTCTGGTAAGAAATGTCCCTCCTTGGTGTTGTATTTACAAAAGTGATTATATATCACAGTCACTAACAATCACTCACATTTTTGAATGAAAGGCGTTGTGCGTTTGTGCCTGTTGTACGACTTTTGTTGTGGCAGTAATCATTTGCATTACTGATGAATGTCTCTGAGAAATTCTGTAGTGAATGTGTTTTAGCTGGCATTTTTGAACATTTCATGTTTTAAGCCACCTTGGAGCTTGCTTTCCCCCAAAATATCACTTCAATCAGTGAACTCCAATATCAAAAACCAGTCCATAGTAAATTATTGCATCTTACTTACTTATACTGCTTTTATAATAATAATAATAATAATAATAATAATAATAATAATAATAATAATAAAAAAACACATTTAACTGACACCATGCAGTAGTTTCAACCAAATGCCTTATTCTGGTTAGTTTGCTTGCAACTTTAATGCTATATCTCCCAGTTTATGACATTATCCAGAACACCAATTCCTGCAGATCTGTACATAGTGTATCTGCTGAAAGCCACATTAATTCCTGATAGGGGTTTAACCCCTGCAGTGTGCTGACTGACAGATTATTATCTTCACAGCTCATATGCCACTATAGTGACTTGTTTGACACACTGCACCGCTGTAGCAGATTCATGTGTCTCTTTCTCTTCTGCTGTTTAAAGTTCAAAGGTAGTCCATCTCCTGTTTGATGTGTAAGAGCAGTTGAATGAGCCCAGGTGAGTCCTTCAGAAAAGCTTGTCATACCAGTGTTTAATTACCCAGGAGGCCTTATGCGGCTGCTGTGAAGTATAATGCCAAATCATACCATTTCAGTGAGCCATCACTATGGGTATAATTGTACCTTTGAGCTTTTAATTCAACTATTTTCTGATGATAATGAACGCCTTCAAAAATATACTGAATTATGCATAGTTTTTATGTTGTTGTTCCCTGTTTACCACCTAACTTGCCCCGCTTCAATCAGAATATACTGATAGTTGTTCTTTACTAAGAAAGATAATGAAACAAGTATCTCACCCTGATGGGATTATTAATATTTTTTGGATGAAATTGTTTAACATCAAATGTGAGTATCCTCCTGACCATTTTATTTGCTCTTTATTGGGCAAGGTAATATCCATTTATTTTTTGTAGAATTCAACCAAGACTATTTTGTTCATAAGAGTCAATGGGCAAGATACCTGGAAGAGTAACAAAAAAACACAATTTTATTTTCATTTAGGGACATTATGAAATAACATTTTCAATCTCATTTAAACAAATGTTTTGCCTTGGACTTATTAATTAGAAGATCATTTAAATGGAACAAGAATTACTCCCACACGGTACTCTAGCATTGATGAGCATTGAATCCTTTGTCAACTAAGTTTTACGCAGGGACATTTATTTAATAAAGCTCTTTACAAATGAAAGCTAAGAAGTTTTCAAGTTCACACATTTAGAAATTAAGAGGATCATTTCTAGGGTGATTTTATTTGTGTGAGGCTTAACCGTCAAATCCATTTTTAATCATTATCTTCTTGAACTAAACCACTTTATACAAACAATATAAACTTACCCTTCACCTTCAGATGCTCTTCACCATTATTCAAAGTCACATTATTAAGCAACACGTTTTTGGTATTTGGTCAAAAAACACACTTCCTTTGTGTTCATAAAGTACTTTTAGCAATATGTTACATACTCATAAAAAATCATCACTGGTCTTTCATAGTAAGTCATAGAGTGAACAGAATATTTGCCACAAAAACAGAACTGCAGTACTTCAATAAAAAACAGAACACTATACCTCCTCACAGGTTATTTTCTAATGGGTGGATTGGTGGGCATCCTGTTGGTGCTGTGTGTCGGGCCAGAGCTTTTTGTCAACTTTTATATCTGAGAGAATACAAAACATAAAGGATTAATATTTACTAGTGATGGCTCTAACGATGAGAATCAACTCATCAGTTTTGATCAGTAACCCGTGTACACCCCAAGTGGTTATACAGTATAGCATGTGTAGACATTTGTATTAAACGTTTGAGTACATGAGTAATATTCATTAGTATGAACAAGACATTCAAATCTGTATTGTTTTGAAAATAAATATTCTCATAGAAGAATTGAGCCAAAGCAAATGTCACACACTTCCGAAAATAGATTAATAAATATCGCTTATTCGTACAGTATATAAAAAGATACAGTAACTATGGCCACCATGAAAAGCTGCATGGACTCAGTACCTCATTAAAGTTGGCAAGAAACACAGCGGCTTTCTCGTTAATAGAACAAACAGAACCTACTGAAAATGTCACTGAGCTACGTTATTAAACTCAACCATACCAATAACTGAGCATAACCAGTGAGTGGACTTTTTCAGTAGCCAAATGCAAACAGCTTTTACATTAATCAAACAAAAAAGATTGTCCCCCTTCTTGAATGAATATGAGAGGGATGACTAAGACCGCTATGCTTGCACTGCTGCCCCTCTACATATCCACTTACATATCACACAAACAGTACAGCTATAGACTACGATCTCAAAATTACATCACTCTGTCCGTCCCCTCAGTACGCACAGTGCTTGGGAAAAAAGCCATATCATATTCTGCCCCCTCGACCTGGAACACACTTCAGCAGGAACTTAAGCTGACCAGTTTAATATCCATCACGGATTTTAAACTAATTTAAAAAAAGCTGGAGAAATCATCTGTGGGTGTTTGCACCTGCTATATCTGAATGTATATGGATTTTAATGACTACTTTTTTTACGATGTTGTATTTTAGTGTTGCCTCTGTGTTTAGTGTCCTGTCTGTCTGTAACTTTGTGTGGTAGTGTTACCACTGAACAGGTCTCTCTTGAAAATGAGACCTTGTGTCTCAATGAGATTTACACCTGTATAAATAAAGGCTAAATAAAAAAGAGATGTCTTGCTAAAAATAGAGTTAGATGCTGTAACCATGAGCATGTATTTAACATCTCTATGACTCCTACCATATGTTCCTACAACCTTGCAAATATAAGACATGCAGCCTGGGAGTACATCCATATAAAAAATACTATTAAGAGTGCAAAAAGCCATGTAGCCCCGGGCTGATTGAAAGGAGTGTGGGAGTTTTTGTCCCACGTAGATCTCACACAACACACACTGGTATCCTATAAAAAACTCTGGAAAATATGGTGTTCTGTACTGTAATCACGTTCTCCCTTTGGAAAAAAAAAGGCTTATCTGTCCACAGCTCCTGTTTCAAGTGCCACTCGAGCTATTAAGCGGAAGCACTTGAGGCTTGGCTGTTGGAGCAAAGGGTACAATTTTAGGATCATGACAACACTTAAGAGCGGATCAGTACATGGCAGGACACATAGCACACCTGTCAACCTCATCCATCATTTGAATAATTTCCAACACCGGATATATTTTACAGCTTGTTTTTTTTTCTAGATTTCCTATAGCCTACCTCACTAGACAGAGTGCTTTAAAAAACATTTTCAGTGGAGGTTTTTGCCACTCACATGGTGCATTTCTGCCTTAAAGCTGATCTCTCGCAACTCAAACAGCCCACTCAGCAGTTGAGAAACCACACTGAACCCACAGTCGTGAACTCGAAGGACGACTACTGCAGCGTGAAACAACCCACTCTACAGTGTAGAAAAACACCTGACTTAACAACAGCACATAACCAGTCACAGCAGAAGTGTACCCTACACACTACAGTTCTCCTGGCTTTGCATAAGTAGCTGCTTCTGCAGGGGAAAAATGACCGCTGAGTGTTGGACCAAAACATTTTACATGCAAGGTATTGATGACCAACTCTGTATCCTTCTCAGCTACTTATAATACCAGTATATGATAGACTGATCAAAACTGGTTTGCCCACGTAAAGAGCTACATTGCACAATTTCTTTCTTTTTCCTCTTTTGTCTTTTCAAAAACCTCAATGTTTCCGTAGAAGGCCTGCCTCTTTCATCAGGTGTGATGAGAAAGGTTGTGCTCTTGACACACCGTCACACTCACGCATGCATGTATTCATGAGAAATTAGAGCTACTTGTCCTTTGATTGAGCCATTTGTTTTTTTTAAGAAAAGCTTTGATTCACATGGGAAACACAAAGGGCATTCAGGAACATGCAGTTCAGTTCATCTAAACATCTCATTTGAATGTCTTGTGGAATTTGTTTGTGAGAGTCTGTGTGCAAGGTGTCTTATACAATTGTGAGGGGCAGAGGTTTATGTCTCCTGAGATGTGTTGTTCAAGGTGCGTAGGTGTTGAGAACTTTCAAAGAGAGGATCACACATTACACCGACTCACTTCACAGAGAATTTATTTAAAACACATATTTGCCTCTTCATTCCCTCTAAAGCTACGTATCTCTAAGGCTCTCAGCCTCTGCTAACACAAAGCCTGAAATAGTCCTTAGGTAGGTTTGAGGGTAAAGACTCTGCCTCTCTCCATGGTGCTGAAACCTGGAAACCTAAGTGCTCTCAATCTACTTCCTTGTCTGTGCATCGTGATCTTTCGGAACGTCATGACTTGTAGTCCAAGAACTGTTCAAATTCAAAATGTGTTTCTAGCAAGTAATAATAATAATAATAATGATAACTTTAATTGATATAGCGCCTTTCATCAACCCAAGGTCGCTTAACAAAGAAAAATATAAGGACAAGACATAAAACAGGGGGCAGAAATGGAAGTGTTTCATTGGAAGGGGGGGGGGAGTGAGTTAATGTTGGAAGGCTTTGTTGAACAGGTGAGTTTTCAGGGTTGATTTGAAGATGTTCAGAGAAGGGGCGTTACGGATTTCAGCAGGGAGGGAGTTCCAGAGGGTGAGGGGGGCAGCGACACTGAAGGCACGGTCCCCGAAGGTGCGGAGGCGTGAATGGGGAATGGAGAGCAGGCCGGAGTCTGAGGATCGAAGGGTGCGGGACGGGATGTAAGGGTGGAGGAGATCTGTGAGGTACTGAGGGGAGAGGGGTTTTAAAGTACAGCTCAAATCGTGAAAA